CGCATTAACTAATGTTGGATGAACAGTATTGTGAGTTTGGCAGGCTGGATTGCTGCCAGGGCTTATCTGTGTCGGTTTGCTGCCAAGGAACTGTCTGTCTGTGAATAAATTCCGTAAAGTATATTTGGCTTGGAGTGTTTTGGTGTGGGACGAGGGGGGGGGGGTCAGAACACTATATTTCTGAGTTTGGGCTGCGTTGACTCAGGCTTGTGAAAATAAAAAGTTTTGCAAGAGGAGAACCATTGGTTCCTCATCCCTTCCTTAATTGGGGATCAATAGACCAGACATACTAGTAGCCCAGAGAGTTTACCAGCCTTGTAATATTAGTAATGACTTAAAGTCAGGATAGAATGAAAGAAGCTTACCTCAAACCTGAACCAGGGATTCAAATGAAAGTCCTGTTTTTTCATTCCCTACATCTGGAATTCATAACAACTGGCCGTTTTTTTCACTCTCGTCGCAGTCACTCAGAGTTTGTGATTCAATTTGCATATTACAACCTACCAAAATAACAGTTGGAAGGGACTTTGAGGGTTTAGTAGTCCAATCCCCTGCTCAAATAGGAAATCTTACACCATTTAAAATAAATGGTTGTCCAGTCTCAAAAACCTTCAATGTCAGAGCATCCACAACTAGGGGCAAGTTGTTCCACTGATTAAGTGTTTCATAATGATGGATTAACTATGGCTGAGCCTTATAGACTGTATTCACCTGGACAATAAGCTGTGGTGTGAGTTGTTTGCCTTTTGTTTGTTGAAATCACTTCTACAGCCACCCTTTCAATTACTTTTGGTCATTCACGTTCTACTGCAATTGTAAACCACTGCTGAGTATTTGTTTTTAATTTTTTAATTACCATTAAATTATCATTTTTAATTACAGGGCAGCCATATTGAAAGCAGGTTAACGCCTTGATTCCCTATGTATAAAATTGAAGTCACTGAGGTAAATTAAATGATCACGTCTAAGAATAAATATTTATAAATATCACTCTGAAAAGGACTTTTCTTTAATCTTAACATTAGATCAGACGGTGCCTGATATCATTCTATACCAGTTCTTTATAATGAGCTTATAATTGGTAAATGTAATTAGTATTTATAATAACTTCAAAACTATTTTACTATTTTTTTCCTTTTATTTCAAGAGTTGCAACCAGTGCACTTAGTGTTTAAAAATATTGAGCAGACATGGTTGGAAGAGACATCGAACACTTTTTTGAAATAAATATACAATTTCAACCATGATTGTCGTATTAATAGCTTAACTAATGTAGAGATATGTTACTGTTAGGAAACTGATACTACTACTTTATAATTATCATGGTTTTCTGCAGTGAATCTGATATACAACAGTTGGCAGGGAAATACTGCTCAGTTGTGTGACTGAAGACTTTATAGACTACATCTGAAACAATTAGTTCAGCATAGGGCTACCATATCTGGAAAAATACTATCGCTATCATTTTATGCATCTCTTTGCTGCCATCTAGGGACTGCCCAGATTTCTACTGTCAAAATATGGTAACATTAGCTCAGCAAGTATACATTATAAAAATAAAACCTCAAATTAAACTTATTGACTATAGCTTGTGGACAGTAG